GGGGGGGGGGGGCCCCCGCGGGACCCCCCCGGAGCCCCCCCGGCAGCGCCCTGGAGCGGGGGGCGTGGCTGCACGCGCGGTGAGGGGCGGGGCCTCGGGGGCGTGGTTCCGGGGGCGGGGCCTGGGGCGGGGCTTAACAAGGTCGGGGGCGTGGGTTGGGTTTGGGTGTGGTTTGGGGTCGTGGCCTAATCTTTAAATGGGTTTGGGGCGTGGTTTGTGTTGGGTGTGGTTGGGGGCGTGGTTTGGGTGGGGTTTGGAGGCGTGGTTTAGAACTGGGTGGGGTTTATTCTTTGGGGGCGTGGTTTGCCACTTGGGGGCGTGGTTTGGTTTGGGGTGGAGTCTGGGGGCGTGGCTTTGCTTTGGGGGCGTGGTTTGGTGTTTGGGTGCGGTTCTAGTGTGGTTTAGGGGTGTGGTTGGGGGCGTGGTTTGTATTTGGGTGGAGTTCGGGTTTGGGTGTGGTTGGGGGCGTGGTTGGATGTTTGGGTGGAGTTTGGGGGCGTGGTTTGGTGTTTGGGTGCGGTTCTAGTGTGGTTTAGGGGTGTGGTTGGGGGCGTGGTTTGTATTTGGGTGGAGTTTGGGGATGTGGTTTGGGTTTGGGTGTGGTTGGGGGTGTGGTTTAGGTTTGGGTGTGGTTGGGGGCGTGGTTTGATGTTTGGGTGTGGTTTGCTGTTTGGGAGGGGTGGGGGCGTGGTTTGTGGTCGGGGCGTGGCCAACGCCAGGCTCCGCCCCCCCGCAGCTGGTTGGACGCGGGGCGGTCGCTGCTGGAGCAGGGCGTGGCCGAGGATGAGGAGCTGCTGCTGCGCTTCAAATTCCCGTGCGCCCGGGGGGACCCCCAGGTACCCCAAAACACACGGGGACCCCAAAAACACCCGGGGACCCCAAAAACAACAGCTGGGACCCCAAAAATCAGCTCAGGGACCCCAAAAACACCCGGGGACCCCAAAACCCAAAAATCAGCTCAGGGACCCCCAAAATCAACCTCAGGGCCCCAAAAATCAGCCCAGGGAGCCTAAAACACACCTGGGGACCCTAAAAACACAGCTGGGACCCCAAAAACACACCCAGGGACCCCCAAAATCAGCTCAGGGACACCAAAAACAACACCCAGGGACCCCAAAAACACTCGGGACTCCAAAATCCACACGGGGACCCCAAAAACAACACCTGGGACCCCAAAAACATCCGGGGACCCCAAAACACACCTGGGACCCCAAAAATCAGCTGAGGAACCCCCTAAATCCCTCCCATTTACCCCAAAAAAACACCCGGGGACCCCAGAAAAATCTGGGGATCCCAAAAATCAGACCGGGGACCCTAAAACACACCCAGGGACCCCAAAAACACACCTGGGGCACCCCAAAATCAGCTCAGGGACCTGAAAATCTCCCCAGAGACCCCAAAATCATCCCGGGGACCCCAAAATCCCTCCCCAGGTATCCCCAAGCCCCCCCTGGCGGCCCCCAAAGACCCCAAAAGCTCCCAACCCCCCGTGTGCCCACCCCAGAGAGGTTTCGGGGCTCCCCGGGGGTCTCAGCCCCCCCAAACCCTTTGAGGGTCCCTTGGGAGGGTTTTGGGGGTCCCTGGGTGGTGTTTTGGGGGTGTTTGGGGGTCACAGCCCCCCAAATCCTTTGGGGCTCCCTTGGGAGGGTTTTGGGGGTCTCTTGGGAGGGTTTTGGCGTCCCTGGGGGTCTCAGCCTCCCAGACCCTTTGAGGCTCCCTTGGGAGGGTTTCGGGGGTCTCTTGGGAGGGTTTTGGGGGTTCCCCGGGGGTCCCGGCCCCCCCAAACCCCCCCGTGCCCCCCAGGAGGGGCTGCACGCGGCGCTGCTGCAGGAGCAGGCGCTGGGGTCGCTCCTGGCCGAGGAGATCGAGTGCAGCGAGGAGCAGGGGCTGCGCTTCGCTGCCCTGCAGGTACCCCGGAACACCCCGAAAACACCCCGGAAACATCCCGGAAATACCCTGAGAACACCCCGAAAATACCCTGAAAACAGCCCCAAAACACCCCGAAAATACCCTGAGAATACCCCGAAAATACCCTGAAAACAGCCCCAAAACACCCCGAAAACACCCCGAAAACATCCCGGAAACACCCTGAAAACAGCTCAAAAAACACCCCGAAAATGGATGTTTGGGTGGAGTTTGGGGGCGTGGTTTGGTGTTTGGGTGTGGTTGGGGGCGTGGTTTGATGTTTGGGTGTGGTTTGCTGTTTGGGAGGGGTGGGGGCGTGGTTTGTGGTCGGGGCGTGGCCAACGCCAGGCTCCGCCCCCCCGCAGCTGGTTGGACGCGGGGCGGTCGCTGCTGGAGCAGGGCGTGGCCGAGGATGAGGAGCTGCTGCTGCGCTTCAAATTCCCGTGCGCCCGGGGGGACCCCCAGGTACCCCGAAACACACGGGGACCCCAAAAACACCCGGGGACCCCAAAAACAACAGCTGGGACCCCAAAAATCAGCTCAGGGACCCCAAAAACACCCGGGGACCCCAAAATCCCCCCAAGGACCCCAAAACCAACAGCTGGGACCCCAAAAACAACAGCTGGGACCCCAAAAACACCCGGGGCCCTAAAAACCCCCCCAGGGACCCCAAAAACAACAGCTGGGACCCCAAAAATCAGCTCAGGGACCCCAAAAACACCCGGGGACCCCAAAATCCACACGGGGACCCCAAAAACACCCGGGGACCCCAAAATCCCCCCAAGGACCCCAAAAACAACAGCTGGGACCCCAAAAACAACAGCTGGGACCCCAAAAACACCCGGGACCCTAAAATCCCCCCCAGGGACCCCAAAAACAACAGCTGGGACCCCAAAAATCAGCTCAGGGACCCCCAAAATCAACCTCAGGGCCCCAAAAATCAGCCCAGGGAGCCTAAAACACACCTGGGGACCCTAAAAACACAGCTGGGACCCCAAAAACACACCCAGGGACCCCCAAAATCAGCTCAGGGACACCAAAAACAACACCCAGGGACCCCAAAAACACTCGGGACTCCAAAATCCACACGGGGACCCCAAAAACAACACCTGGGACCCCAAAAACATCCGGGGACCCCAAAACACACCTGGGACCCCAAAAATCAGCTGAGGAACCCCCTAAATCCCTCCCATTTACCCCAAAAAAACACCCGGGGACCCCAGAAAAATCTGGGGATCCCAAAAATCAGACCGGGGACCCTAAAACACACCCAGGGACCCCAAAAACACACCTGGGGCACCCCAAAATCAGCTCAGGGACCTGAAAATCTCCCCAGAGACCCCAAAATCATCCCGGGGACCCCAAAATCCCTCCCCAGGTATCCCCAAGCCCCCCCTGGCGGCCCCCAAAGACCCCAAAAGCTCCCAACCCCCCGTGTGCCCACCCCAGAGAGGTTTCGGGGCTCCCCGGGGGTCTCAGCCCCCCCAAACCCTTTGAGGGTCCCTTGGGAGGGTTTTGGGGGTCCCTGGGTGGTGTTTTGGGGGTGTTTGGGGGTCACAGCCCCCCAAATCCTTTGGGGCTCCCTTGGGAGGGTTTTGGGGGTCTCTTGGGAGGGTTTTGGCGTCCCTGGGGGTCTCAGCCTCCCAGACCCTTTGAGGCTCCCTTGGGAGGGTTTCGGGGGTCTCTTGGGAGGGTTTTGGGGGTTCCCCGGGGGTCCCGGCCCCCCCAAACCCCCCCGTGCCCCCCAGGAGGGGCTGCACGCGGCGCTGCTGCAGGAGCAGGCGCTGGGGTCGCTCCTGGCCGAGGAGATCGAGTGCAGCGAGGAGCAGGGGCTGCGCTTCGCTGCCCTGCAGGTACCCCGGAACACCCCGAAAACACCTCGGAAACATCCCGGAAATACCCTGAGAACACCCCGAAAATACCCTGAAAACAGCTCAAAAAACACCCCGAAAATACCCTGAGAATACCCCGAAAATACCCTGAAAACAGCCCCAAAACACCCCGAAAATACCCTGAGAATACCCCGAAAATACCCTGAAAACAGCCCCAAAACACCCCGAAAACACCCCGAAAACATCCCGGAAACACCCTGAAAACAGCTCAAAAAACACCCCGAAAATACCCTGAGAATACCCCGAAAATACCCTGAAAACAGCCCCAAAACACCCCGAAAACACCCCGAAAACATCCCGGAAACACCCTGAAAACAGCTCAAAAAACACCCCGAAAATACCCTGAGAATACCCCGAAAATACCCTGAAAACAGCCCCAAAACACCCCGAAAACACCCCGAAAACATCCCTGAAATACCCTGAAAACACCCTGAAAACACTACCCTGAAAATACCCCAAAACCACCCCGAAAATACCCTGAAAACAGCCCCAAAACACCCCGAAAACACCCCGCAAATACACCGAAAATACCCTGAAAACACCCAAAAACATCCAAAACCAAACTCCCCAAAACCAGCCGAAAAACACCCAGAAACCACCCCGAAAATACCCTGAAAACAGCCAAAAAATACCCTGAAAATACCCTGAAAACCACACCAAAACCAGCCTGAAAATAACCTGAAAACAGCCCCAAAACACCCCAAAACCACCCTGAAAACGACACCAAAACCACCCCAAAACCAGCCCGAAAACGGCACAAAAACAACAACAAAAAAAATCCCCAAAAATACCCCCAAAATACCCAAAAACAGCCAAAAAAAACCCGCAAAAACCCTCCCAAAACACCCAAAATCTCCCTGTACCCCAAAATCTCCTAAATCGCCACGCTGGGATCACCCCGGGACCCCCCAAATTCCCCCAGATCCCCCCCAAAACCCCCCCGGGACCCCT